AGAGCATTTCATCCATTTTTGAATAAATGGTTCATCACAAATTGTAGAAATACTCTGAGCATTGACTATAAAATGGAATGGACTTGATCCGTGAGTATTCTCCGAGCAAATCGTCTCAAGTGCGTTTTTGATCGTTGCGCCCTGATTAGAAATAGTGCCAACAACGCACAAACCAAGTCGCTGCTAGTTTGTGATCACATGAACAATAATCGTTTTCAGATCTGGGATTCTTGTATCTTTTACTAGATAATAAGCCACAACCTGCTTATAATTTTTACGAATCCCTCTTATCATGGAAGTAAGGGCATGATTTCTGATAAATCACTTTTTCAGAGTTCTAGTTGATTTTGTTACCTCAGAATTCAAGATTTATTAGCTGAAAATTGTACACTGTGAGCACTGGGATCAGCCCTAAACTTTGTCCAAACCCTGCAATAATCGTAAACACTAAACAAGGGTAGACATATTTCTAGTTTAACTGCCTGAAGATTTTCTCTATGGTTTATACGTAACTCTCCACCTATTATCTCATTTTTGTACATGTTCTGGGAGAACTCAACTTGCTCCCTATAAAATGCAACGTCTTCCTGCACAGGTGGTTCTGGTTAAGTGCCAGCCTGCTTCGGGTTTGTAATTAGTTGTTGCAATTTTCTGATTTCGTCGTCCTTTTTCATAATCCAGATTTCGTTTTGGCATTCCAGTTCAGCCATTTGATCCTGAAGCTTTTTATAGTAGAATCATTATGGCATCGTATATCTGAGATTTTAAATGAGTGGTTGACCTCACGTTGGTTACTCTCGTCCATCAGACTCTTTACGTCATTTCTCAGTTTAGATTCAAGTTCTTTTAGGAAGCCAATTTCATCTTGCAGTTCAGCAATGTGTGACATCGTTACATCAGTTTGTGTAGCAGCACTTAAAGAATCTTGCATATCTTCGTACTCAGCGTCAAGCATAGCTTCTAAGTCTGCAACCTTCTTTTTTGACTCAATATTTTGAGCTTCAAGAGATGGTTTAGGGCTCTCTGATCTTCCTAGGTTCTTCAGTTGAGTACGCAGCATCTCTATTTCTGACTCGTATGTTTTTAGTCTTTTTATTATTTTTTTCCAGAAAATCGAGTCTGTATTGCAAGTCGATGAAATTCTTGCGCTTTTTGAGAATTTTTTTGAACTCTTTCTATTTCTTCGTTGTACGCATCCGTTACTTGGCGGAGTTCCTGACTGTAACGATCGATTTTAGAATTGGCTTCTGTGAGCTGTTTCTTCAGGTCCAAAATCTCCAGCTGATTATCTAGTTTAGTGAATTCTCTAAGCTCATTGAAAGATTCTTCCAGTTCTTTGCGTTGTCTTTTAAGTACACTTGCACGTCTTCAGCTATCACAGATTCTGCTTCGGCTAGTGCCTCCTCATATGTCTCTTCTTGAATAGGCCTCATTTCACGTCCGGATGATTCTTCTTTGGGTGGATAATTTTTCAATGGCATATACCCTAGGGATGCTTTTTTAGGTGATACGTTGCCATAGTGTCCAAAAGTATGACGTCTTAATTTTTTTTCGGTGTTGATGCCGAGGCTCCCATTTGAAAGCGCCCGACAATAGATACTTCCGTTTTTAGTCTTTCTATCTCGAGCAGATACTCTTGTTTGCTTTTATCCATCTCTTTTAGCTTAATTGCCTGCTTTTTGAGCCGAGTTTCGAGATCGCGAGTCAAGTTCTGATATCCTTGAAGTGTCTCTTCTGTAGCTGACAAGATGTTTACTTTCGTTTTATTTTTGACAGTTTTAGTGCTTTGGGCGAATTCTGGTGTAGATCTAGTCTCCTCCTCTGCAGCTAAAGTAACATTCCCGATAATCAATGATTTGGCATTACCGCCAAGAGCCTGTGAGAGCAGTCTAGTCAATTTCGAATCGCGATAACTGATAAACTCCTTCCCCTCGCTTAGTTGCCTTATCACATTTCCTAATACTGACAAAGATTTGTTTATGTTAGCCCCCTCTTTAAGACGCTCACCAGCAGCTTTCGTCAGAGAAACTCTCTCAGAACCAGCTAAGTCCATTAAGTTAAGGTAGCTTATATGTACAGGTCCATCTTTCTGATTGGCATCTTTCGACTCCAGAATAATCCGGAAAATCGTGTGTGATCGAGATGACCTCTCATTCATGCGAGTAGCTGCAACTCGTCTGATCTTATTGCCCTGCATCATGTTCTCCATAACTTTATCAACATTGTCTACGACAGCTTCCCTTGCAGCACATTTCCTTTGATATCTTCTCATAGTTAAACCCTGATTGCTCTTATCCAGGAGGTCATTGATCTTTTCATTGTAGATTTCAATATAACTGCATCTAATCAAGTACCTCTTATCAACCTGGTCTGCCACATGCTGGAATAACTGATTGGATACTAATTGGAAAAGCCCAGGATCTGTTTTATTGCCCAAAATGGTGTGTGTTTTGCCAGAAGATGTTTGGCCATATGCAAATATTGTGGCATTGAAACCTTCCATGAAGGAATCGACTAAAGGTTTTACTACAGATCCATATACATCTGAATTTGTACATTCCTGATTAAATACATGGTCGAATATATAAACCTCTCCATGGCGACTACTTTCATCGGCTTCCCATATGCAGTTTACTCTTACGTTCCAAAGACGCTCTAGACCATCGGCTACTTCGCGGTGGATCATTGGTCTGATCTTTGTGGCTACTTTAATATTGTTGGAAGTCATTTTGGAAGCTTGAACTGAAATTTAATTAGAACTAGGGCTATTTCACGGGTTATAAAGAGGGGCAGATGTATCAGGTTGATACATTTTTTTTTCCTCCTTTCCAGTAGAAGATTTTTTCTCTTGTAGGCTATGAATGCGGTCCGATAGTTTAGTAGAGCTACATTACAGGGTGGACTCAAAATCAAAGAAGAACAATTGTTAAATTTCATATAGACTGTTATTGTTATTACAAAAAGAAGTTGAAGCAGCAGCAAATTCTCACAAATCTGATCCATCACTTTCAGCACCCGATTTTTCAACTTGAAAAATGCAGCTCGGTGAAGAACAAGGTAACTGTTGTCTATTCAGACAATACTCTTCTAAAAGCAACGCGAAGTTACCTAGTGCCTTACATGAATCGCCTTCATAATTCTTCATTATTGTCAATGGAAAACTGAAATTGTTGATTATTACAGTTTTTAATGCTTCAAATAAACAGATGGTGTTCGTGTTGGAAATCCCCGTCTAATCTCGCAAAACAGGTTATCCACCGGATCTTACTATCAACATCTGAAATGCCATTACTGTTTTTAGCCATGTGTACAACAGGTTTGTACGCATAAGACACTCTTACGAAAACTGTTTATTGTCTAAAACGAAAAACCCCATTGAAGATGAGTAATGCAATAAATATAATCCTCGAAACTTGAACTGTAATATGAACATAAAAAAACTAACAAAATGGGCCATTTAACAACATATTTGGTGTTTGATATTCTACAACAAAAACAAATACTTTCTCGTATAGGAAACATACAATAATTAACATTTATCACTTTTCACGAAACAATGTAAGTGCGCTGTGACTTTACATACTTATTACAGATTGTAGAACATTTTTTTCATTGTGTATTGTCATGTAACACCTACGTCGTTTTTTTCTTTAAACAACTGCATCAGGATCGAGGAACTCTGGGCTGAGAAGTAGGACGGCTTACTTTATCGTCGTTGGTAATTTAGGATCTTTGCATGGCTGAACGAAGCTCCCTAGGAAGTCTTGGATCTGATAAACGTCCTCTCATACGAAGTTAAATTAGAGTTTGCCTCAGGGGACAATAAAATTTCGTCGCCTAATGGAACTTTCAGTCCCAGACTGAAAAAAAAGGAATTTACAGAAGCTGGTTGGATACCAAATAGCACAAGGCCATCTTCTCGTTCTCTAACCAGTATTGTAATTTACACACTTCCGATCTAATGCATTACCCCCCCGCCTTCATAGTGTTATAAAAATAATATAGGATCTTATCAGGTTTCTTTGATTCCTCTACTATTTTGTTATCATGCTGCATAGATTGCTATACGAGAACATGTGTATTTGGTTTTGGAAGATACTACTCTAAGGCTGTACAACATAAACTTAGAAGTACCTGGCTGTGTTTCCTTCTTATTTGGAACTACATGTTGGGGTACTTGTTACTTATTTTTACGCTTCCTGCCGACATAGGTCAGTTGGTTGATGCGCAATTCTACATGTAATTCTACTGACGTGAACCAGTCATCTGCTGTGATATTTCTGTTCGTATAGACGAAAGCATTGAGCAGGTAGTGGTGAGTCTTTGCATCATCAGTCCATACTTATTCGGTTTAGTTTTCTTGTAGGCACAGGAAGGACATCGGCCCACGAGCATCTCGTATTTTGTAGGGGACTCACCCGAAATATAACAATTTCGACAGTTCTCTATGAGTGTCTCGAAAATTTCACGTATTTGGAGAAATTTATCGGCATTTCTCGAGTCACAGGGTTATTATTTTCCAAATTGGTTGCCACGGACTTTAGTTCAGGTAATGCGTAATAATCGACCAGTTGCAGGCGCTCGTTTTGACCAATTGTACAGTTTTTTTCATAGGCATAGCGAGGTCGCCCATAGGAATTTGTTCAGGTTGATCGATAGCAGCGTCGTCCTCGCGTATTCGTATAGTGTATTGTTCATCCGTCAACAACGAAAAATCATTGTGAAGGAAGTTCAATCGTACACGCAACTGACATCCTCGGATCAATTTGACCGCAAAGTCACAAACCAACAATTGTGACGTTTTAAATTAAACTGTGGGTTTGAGGTATACGTGCTCAAGACCGTATGAGAAGCACGGGACCCCCACCACATAAACTGAGAAAGCTCGAATCATCGACGATATCATGAAAGGATTAATTCTATATTCTTGAACGAATCTATAAAATCAAAGTGGCTGGGGTTGTCAATTTACATAGCTCTTTGTATGGGCTTGTTTGCTGATCAACATTATAGTGATTTCTAGATCATGTTCAATCTGTGCAGCTTCTTCACTTTCATATTAATGTCAATAAGAGCATTTCATCCATTTTTGAATAAATGTGGTTCATCACAAATTGTAGAAATAGCCTGAGCATTGACTATAAAATGGAATGGACTTGATCCGTGAGTATTCTCCGAGCAAATCGTCTCAAGTGCGTTTTTGATCGTTGCGCCCTGATTAGAAATAGTGCCAACAACGCACAAACCAAGTCGCTGCTAGTTTGTGATCACATGAACAATAATCGTTTCAGATCTGGGATTCTTGTATCTTTTACTAGATAATAAGCCACAACCTGCTTATAATTTTTACGAATCCCTCTTATCATGGAAGTAAGGGCATGATTTCTGATAAATCACTTTTTCAGAGTTCTAGTTGATTTTGTTACCTCAGAATTCAAGATTTATTAGCTGAAAAATTGTACACTGTGAGCACTGGGATCAGCCCTAAACTTTGTCCAAACCCTGCAATAATCGTAAACACTAAACAAGGGTAGACATATTTCTAGTTTAACTGCCTGAAGATTTTCTCTATGGTTTATACGTAACTCTCCACCTATTATCTCATTTTTGTACATGTTCTGGGAGAACTCAACTTGCTCCCTATAAAATGCAACGTCTTCCTGCACAGGTGGTTCTGGTTAAGTGCCAGCCTGCTTCGGGTTTGTAATTAGTTGTTGCAATTTTCTGATTTCGTCGTCCTTTTTCATAATCCAGATTTCGTTTTGGCATTCCAGTTCAGCCATTTGATCCTGAAGCTCTTTTATAGTAGAATCATTATGGCATCGTATATCTGAGATTTTAAATGAGTGGTTGACCTCACGTTGGTTACTCTCGTCCATCAGACTCTTTACGTCATTTCTCAGTTTAGATTCAAGTTCTTTTAGGAAGCCAATTTCATCTTGCAGTTCAGCAATGTGTGACATCGTTACATCAGTTTGTGCAGCAGCACTTAAAGAATGTTGCATATCTTCGTACTCAGCGTCAAGCATAGCTTCTAAGTCTGCAACCTTCTTTTTTGACTCAAATTTTGAGCTTCAAAGAGATGGTTTAGGGCTTCTTGATCTTCCTAGGTTCTTCAGTGAGTACGCAGCATCTCTCTATTCTGACTCGTATGTTTTTAGTCTTTTTATTATTTTTTTCCAGAAAATCGAGTCTGTATTGCAAGTCGATGAAATTCTTGCGCTTTTTGAGAATTTTTTTGAACTCTTCTATTCTTCGTTGTACGCATCCGTTACTTGGCGGAGTTCCTGACTGTAACGATCGAAATTAGAATTGGCTTCTGTGAGCTGTTTCTTCAGGTCCAAAATCTCCAGCTGATTATCTAGTTTAGTGAATTCTCTAAGCTATTGAAAGATTCTTCAGTTCTTGAGTGTCTTTTAAGTACACTTGCACGTCTTCAGCTATCACAGATTCTGCTTCGGCTAGTGCCTCCTCATATGTCTCTTCTTGAATAGGCCTCATTTCACGTCCGGATGATTCTTCTTTGGGTGGATAATTTTTCAATGGCATATACCCTAGGGATGCTTTTTTAGGTGATACGTTGCCATAGTGTCCAAAAGTATGACGTCTTAATGTTTTTTTTCGGTGTTGATGCGAGGCTCCCATTTGAAAGCGCCCGACAATAGATACTTCCGTTTTTAGTCTTTCTATCTCGAGCAGATACTCTTGTTTGCTTTTATCCATCTCTTTTAGCTTAATTGCCTGCTTTTTGAGCCGAGTTTCGAGATCGCGAGTCAAGTTCTGATATCCTTGAAGTGTCTCTTCTGTAGCTGACAAGATGTTTACTTCGTTTTATTTTGACAGTTTTAGTGCTTTTGGGCGAATTCTGGTGTAGATCTAGTCTCCTCCTCTGCAGCTAAAGTAACATTCCCGATAATCAATGATTTGGCATTACCGCCAAGAGCCTGTGAGAGCAGTCTAGTCAATTTCGAATCGCGATAACTGATAAACTCTTCCCCTCGCTTAGTTGCCTTATCACATTTCCTAATACTGACAAAGATTTGTTTATGTTAGCCCCCTCTTTAAGACGCTCACCAGCAGCTTTCGTCAGAGAAACTCTCTCAGAACCAGCTAAGTCCATTAAGTTAAGGTAGCTTATATGTACAGGTCCATCTTTCTGATTGGCATCTTTCGACTCAGAATAATCCGGAAAATCGTGTGTGATCGAGATGACCTCTCATTCATGCGAGTAGCTGCAAACTCGTCTGATCTTATTGCCCTGCATCATGTTCTCCATAACTTTATCAACATTGTCTACGACAGCTTCCCTTGCATCAAGCAGCACATTTCCTTTGATATCTTCTCTTATAGTTAAACCCTGATTGCTCTTATCCAGGAGGTCATTGATCTTTTCATTGTAGATTTCAATATAACTGCATCTAATCAAGTACCTCTTATCAACCTGGTCTGCCACATGCTGGAATAACTGATTGGATACTAATTGGAAAAGCCCAGGATCTGTTTTATTGCCCAAAATGGTGTGTGTTTTGCCAGAAGATGTTTGGCCATATGCAAATATTGTGGCATTGAAACCTTCCATGAAGGAATCGACTAAAGGTTTTACTACAGATCCATATACATCTGAATTTGTACATTCCTGATTAAATACATGGTCGAATATATAACCTCTCCATGGCGACTACTTTCATCGGCTTCCCATATGCAGTTTACTCTTACGTTCCAAAGACGCTCTAGACCATCGGCTACTTCGCGGTGGATCATTGGTCTGATCTTTGTGGCTACTTTAATATTGTTGGAAGTCATTTTGGAAGCTTGAACTGAAATTTAATTAGAACTAGGGCTATTTCACGGGTTATAAAGAGGGGCAGATGTATCAGGTTGATACATTCTTTTTTTCCTCCTTTCCAGTATAGAAGATTTTTTCTCTTGTAGGCTATGAATGCGGTCCGATAGTTTAGTAGAGCTACATTACAGGGTGACTCAAAATCAAAGAAGAAACAGAATTGTTAAATTTCATATAGACTGTTATTGTTATTACAAAAAGAAGTTGAAGCAGCAGCAAATTCTCACAAATCTATAGATCCATCACTTTCAGCACCCGATTTTTCAACTTGAAAAATGCAGCTCGGTGAAGAATCACAAGGTAACTGTTGTCTATTCAGACAATACTCTTCTAAAAGCAACGCGAAGTTACCTAGTGCCTTACATGAATCGCCTTCATAATTCTTCATTATTGTCAATGGAAAACTGAAATTGTTGATTATTACAGTTTTTAATGCTTCAAATAAACAGATGGTGTTCGTGTTGGAAATCCCACGTCTAATCTCGCAAAACAGGTTATCCACCGGATCTTACTATCAACATCTGAAATGCCATTACTGTTTTTAGCCATGTGTACAACAGGTTTGTACGCATAAGACACTCTTACATGAAAACTGTTTATTGTCTAAAAACGAAAATACCCCATTGAAGATGAGTAATGCAATAAATATAATCCTCGAAACTTGAACTGTAATATGAACATAAAAAAACTAACAAAATGGGCCATTTAACAACATATTTGGTGTTGATATTCTACAACAAAAACAAATACTTTCTCGTATAAGGAAACATACAATAATTAACATTTATCACTTTTCACGAAACAATGTAAGTGCGCTGTGACTTTACATACTTATTACAGATTGTAGAACATTTTTTTCATTGTGTATTGTCATGTAACACCTACGTCGTTTTTTTCTTTAACAACTGCATCAGGATCGAGAACTCTGGGCTGAGAAGTAGACGGCTTACTTTATTCGTCGTTGGTAATTTAGGATTCTTTGCATGGCTGAACGAAGCTCCCTAGGAAGTCTTGGATCTGATAAACGTCCTCTCATACGAAGTTAAATTAGAGTTTGCCTCAGGGGAACAATAAAATTTCGTCGCCTAATGGAACTTTCAGTCCCAGACTGAAAAAAAAAGGAATTTACAGAAGCTGGTTGGATACCAAATAGCACAAGGCCATCTTCTCGTTCTCTAACCAGTATTGTAATTTACACACTTCCGATCTAATGCATTACCCCCCGCCTTCATAGTGTTATAAAAATAATATAGGATCTTATCAGGTTTCTTTGATTCCTCTACTATTTTGTTATCATGCTGCATAGATTGCTATACGAGAACATGTGTATTTGGTTTTGGAAGATACTACTCTAAGGCTGTACAACATAAACTTAGAAGTACCTGGCTGTGTTTCCTTCTTATTTGGAACTACATGTTGGGGTACTTGTTACTTATTTTTACGCTTCCTGCCGACATAGGTCAGTTGGTTGATGCGCAATTCTACATGTAATTCTACTGACGTGAACCAGTCATCTGCTGTGATATTTCTGTTCGTATAGACGAAAGCATTGAGCAGGTAGTGGTGAGTCTTTGCATCATCAGTCCATACTTATTCGGTTTAGTTTTCTTGTAGGCACAGGAAGGACATCGGCCCACGAGCATCTCGTATTTTGTAGGGGACTCACCCGAAATATAACAATTTCGACAGTTCTCTATGAGTGTCTCGAAAATTTCACGTATTTGGAGAAATTTATCGGCATTTCTCGAGTCACAGGGTTATTATTTTCCAAATTGGTTGCCACGGACTTTAGTTCAGGTAAATGCGTAATAATCGACCAGTTGCAGGCGCTCGTTTTGACCAATTGTACATGTTTTTCCATAGGCATAGCGAGGTCGCCCATAGGAAGTTGTTCAGGTTGATCGATAGCAGCGTCGTCCTCGGCGTAGTCTATAGTGTATTGTTCATCCGTCAACAACGAAAAAATCCATTGTGAAGGAAGTTCAAATCGTACACGCAACTGACATCCTCGGATCAAATTTGACCGCAAAGTCAACAAACCAACAATTGTGATGTTTAAATTAAACTGTGGTTTGAGGTATACGTGCTCATACCGTATGAGAAGTCACGGGACCCCCACCACATAACTGAGAAAGCTCGAATCATCCGACGATATCATTAAAGGATTAATTTCTATATTCTTGAACGAATCTATAAAATCAAAGTGGCTGGGTTTCAATTTACATAGCTCTTTGTATGGTCTTGTTTGCTGATCAACATTATATGATTTCTAGACATGTTCAATCTGTGCAGCTTCTTCACTTTCATATTAATGTCAATAAGAGCATTTCATCCATTTTTGAATAAATGTGGTTCATCACAAATTGTAGAAATACTCTGAGCATTGACTATAAAATGGAATGGACTTGATCCGTGAGTATTCTCCGAGCAAATCGTCTCAAGTGCGTTTTTGATCGTTGCGCCCTGATTAGAAATAGTGCCAACAACGCACAAACCAAGTCGCTGCTAGTTTGTGATCACATGAACAATAATCGTTTTCAGATCTGGGATTCTTGTATCTTTTACTAGATAATAAGCCACAACCTGCTTATAATTTTTACGAATCCCTCTTATCATGGAAGTAAGGGCATGATTTCTGATAAATCACTTTTTCAGAGTTCTAGTTGATTTTGTTACCTCAGAATTCAAGATTTATTAGCTGAAAATTGTACACTGTGAGCACTGGGATCAGCCCTAAACTTTGTCCAAACCCTGCAATAATCGTAAACACTAAACAAGGGTAGACATATTTCTAGTTTAACTGCCTGAAGATTTTCTCTATGGTTTATACGTAACTCTCCACCTATTATCTCATTTTTGTACATGTTCTGGGAGAACTCAACTTGCTCCCTATAAAATGCAACGTCTTCCTGCACAGGTGGTTCTGGTTAAGTGCCAGCCTGCTTCGGGTTTGTAATTAGTTGTTGCAATTTTCTGATTTCGTCGTCCTTTTTCATAATCCAGATTTCGTTTTGGCATTCCAGTTCAGCCATTTGATCCTGAAGCTCTTTTATAGTAGAATCATTATGGCATCGTATATCTGAGATTTTAAATGAGTGGTTGACCTCACGTTGGTTACTCTCGTCCATCAGACTCTTTACGTCATTTCTCAGTTTAGATTCAAGTTCTTTTAGGAAGCCAATTTCATCTTGCAGTTCAGCAATGTGTGACATCGTTACATCAGTTTGTGCAGCAGCACTTAAAGAATGTTGCATATCTTCGTACTCAGCGTCAAGCATAGCTTCTAAGTCTGCAACCTTCTTTTTTGACTCAATATTTTGAGCTTCAAGAGATGGTTTAGGGCTCTCTGATCTTCCTAGGTTCTTCAGTTGAGTACGCAGCATCTCTATTTCTGACTCGTATGTTTTTAGTCTTTTTATTATTTTTTTCCAGAAAATCGAGTCTGTATTGCAAGTCGATGAAATTCTTGCGCTTTTTGAGAATTTTTTTGAACTCTTTCTATTTCTTCGTTGTACGCATCCGTTACTTGGCGGAGTTCCTGACTGTAACGATCGAATTTAGAATTGGCTTCTGTGAGCTGTTTCTTCAGGTCCAAAATCTCCAGCTGATTATCTAGTTTAGTGAATTCTCTAAGCTCATTGAAAGATTCTTCCAGTTCTTTGAGTTGTCTTTTAAGTACACTTGCACGTCTTCAGCTATCACAGATTCTGCTTCGGCTAGTGCCTCCTCATATGTCTCTTCTTGAATAGGCCTCATTTCACGTCCGGATGATTCTTCTTTGGGTGGATAATTTTTCAATGGCATATACCCTAGGGATGCTTTTTTAGGTGATACGTTGCCATAGTGTCCAAAAGTATGACGTCTTAATGTTTTTTTCGGTGTTGATGCCGAGGCTCCCATTTGAAAGCGCCCGACAATAGATACTTCCGTTTTTAGTCTTTCTATCTCGAGCAGATACTCTTGTTTGCTTTTATCCATCTCTTTTAGCTTAATTGCCTGCTTTTTGAGCCGAGTTTCGAGATCGCGAGTCAAGTTCTGATATCCTTGAAGTGTCTCTTCTGTAGCTGACAAGATGTTTACTTTCGTTTTATTTTTGACAGTTTTAGTGCTTTGGGCGAATTCTGGTGTAGATCTAGTCTCCTCCTCTGCAGCTAAAGTAACATTCCCGATAATCAATGATTTGGCATTACCGCCAAGAGCCTGTGAGAGCAGTCTAGTCAATTTCGAATCGCGATAACTGATAAACTCCTTCCCCTCGCTTAGTTGCCTTATCACATTTCCTAATACTGACAAAGATTTGTTTATGTTAGCCCCCTCTTTAAGACGCTCACCAGCAGCTTTCGTCAGAGAAACTCTCTCAGAACCAGCTAAGTCCATTAAGTTAAGGTAGCTTATATGTACAGGTCCATCTTTCTGATTGGCATCTTTCGACTCCAGAATAATCCGGAAAATCGTGTGTGATCGAGATGACCTCTCATTCATGCGAGTAGCTGCAACTCGTCTGATCTTATTGCCCTGCATCATGTTCTCCATAACTTTATCAACATTGTCTACGACAGCTTCCCTTGCATCAAGCAGCACATTTCCTTTGATATCTTCTCTTATAGTTAAACCCTGATTGCTCTTATCCAGGAGGTCATTGATCTTTTCATTGTAGATTTCAATATAACTGCATCTAATCAAGTACCTCTTATCAACCTGGTCTGCCACATGCTGGAATAACTGATTGGATACTAATTGGAAAAGCCCAGGATCTGTTTTATTGCCCAAAATGGTGTGTGTTTTGCCAGAAGATGTTTGGCCATATGCAAATATTGTGGCATTGAAACCTTCCATGAAGGAATCGACTAAAGGTTTTACTACAGATCCATATACATCTGAATTTGTACATTCCTGCTTAAATACATGGTCGAATATATAAACCTCTCCATGGCGACTACTTTCATCGGCTTCCCATATGCAGTTTACTCTTACGTTCCAAAGACGCTCTAGACCATCGGCTACTTCGCGGTGGATCATTGGTCTGATCTTTGTGGCTACTTTAATATTGTCGGAAGTCATTTTGGAAGCTTGAACTGAAATTTAATTAGAACTAGGGCTATTTCACGGGTTATAAAGAGGGGCACTTTTCATAATCCAGATTTCGTTTTGGCATTCCAGTTCAGCCATTTGATCCTGAAGCTCTTTATAGTAGAATCATTATGGCATCGTATATCTGAGATTTTAAATGAGTGGTTGACCTCACGTTGGTTACTCTCGTCCATCAGACTCTTACGTCATTTCTCAGTTTAGATTCAAGTTCTTTTAGGAAGCCAATTTCATCTTGCAGTTCAGCAATGTGTGACATCGTTACATCAGTTTGTGTAGCAGCACTTAAAGAATCTTGCATATCTTCGTACTCAGCGTCAAGCATAGCTTCTAAGTCTGCAACCTTCTTTTTTGACTCAATATTTTGAGCTTCAAGAGATGGTTTAGGGCTCTCTGATCTTCCTAGGTTCTTCAGTTGAGTACGCAGCATCTCTATTTCTGACTCGTATGTTTTTAGTCTTTTTATTATTTTTTTCCAGAAAATCGAGTCTGTATTGCAAGTCGATGAAATTCTTGCGCTTTTTGAGAATTTTTTTGAACTCTTTCTATTTCTTCGTTGTACGCATCCGTTACTTGGCGGAGTTCCTGACTGTAACGATCGATTTTAGAATTGGCTTCTGTGAGCTGTTTCTTCAGGTCCAAAATCTCCAGCTGATTATCTAGTTTAGTGAATTCTCTAAGCTCATTGAAAGATTCTTCCAGTTCTTTGCGTTGTCTTTTAAGTACACTTGCACGTCTTCAGCTATCACAGATTCTGCTTCGGCTAGTGCCTCCTCATATGTCTCTTCTTGAATAGGCCTCATTTCACGTCCGGATGATTCTTCTTTGGGTGGATAATTTTTCAATGGCATATACCCTAGGGATGCTTTTTTAGGTGATACGTTGCCATAGTGTCCAAAAGTATGACGTCTTAATGTTTTTTTCGGTGTTGATGCCGAGGCTCCCATTTGAAAGCGCCCGACAATAGATACTTCCGTTTTTAGTCTTTCTATCTCGAGCAGATACTCTTGTTTGCTTTTATCCATCTCTTTTAGCTTAATTGCCTGCTTTTTGAGCCGAGTTTCGAGATCGCGAGTCAAGTTCTGATATCCTTGAAGTGTCTCTTCTGTAGCTGACAAGATGTTTACTTTCGTTTTATTTTTGACAGTTTTAGTGCTTTGGGCGAATTCTGGTGTAGATCTAGTCTCCTCCTCTGCAGCTAAAGTAACATTCCCGATAATCAATGATTTGGCATTACCGCCAAGAGCCTGTGAGAGCAGTCTAGTCAATTTCGAATCGCGATAACTGATAAACTCCTTCCCCTCGCTTAGTTGCCTTATCACATTTCCTAATACTGACAAAGATTTGTTTATGTTAGCCCCCTCTTTAAGACGCTCACCAGCAGCTTTCGTCAGAGAAACTCTCTCAGAACCAGCTAAGTCCATTAAGTTAAGGTAGCTTATATGTACAGGTCCATCTTTCTGATTGGCATCTTTCGACTCCAGAATAATCCGGAAAATCGTGTGTGATCGAGATGACCTCTCATTCATGCGAGTAGCTGCAACTCGTCTGATCTTATTGCCCTGCATCATGTTCTCCATAACTTTATCAACATTGTCTACGACAGCTTCCCTTGCATCAAGCAGCACATTTCCTTTGATATCTTCTCTATAGTTAAACCCTGATTGCTCTTATCCAGGAGGTCATTGATCTTTTCATTGTAGATTTCAATATAACTGCATCTAATCAAGTACCTCTTATCAACCTGGTCTGCCACATGCTGGAATAACTGATTGGATACTAATTGGAAAAGCCCAGGATCTGTTTTATTGCCCAAAATGGTGTGTGTTTTGCCAGAAGATGTTTGGCCATATGCAAATATTGTGGCATTGAAACCTTCCATGAAGGAATCGACTAAAGGTTTTACTACAGATCCATATACATCTGAATTTGTACATTCCTGATTAAATACATGGTCGAATATATAAACCTCTCCATGGCGACTACTTTCATCGGCTTCCCATATGCAGTTTACTCTTACGTTCCAAAGACGCTCTAGACCATCGGCTACTTCGCGGTGGATCATTGGTCTGATCTTTGTGGCTACTTTAATATTGTTGGAAGTCATTTTGGAAGCTTGAACTGAAATTTAATTAGAACTAGGCTATTTCACGGGTTATAAAGAGGGGCAGATGTATCAGGTTGATACATTCTTTTTTTCCTCCTTTCCAGTATAGAAGATTTTTTTCTCTTGTAGGCTATGAATGCGGTCCGATAGTTTAGTAGAGCTACATTTACAGGGTGACTCAAACTCAAAGAAGAAACAGAATTGTTAAATTTCATATAGACTGTTATTGTTATTACAAAAAGAAGTTGAAAGCAGCAGCAAATTCTCACAAATCTATAGATCCATCACTTTCAGCACCCGATTTTTCAACTTGAAAAATGCAGCTCGGTGAAGAATCAAAGGTAACTGTTGTCTATTCAGACAATACTCTTCTAAAAGCAACGCGAAGTTACCTAGTGCCTTACATGAATCGCCTTCATAATTCTTCATTATTGTCAATGGAAAACTGAAATTGTTGATTATTACAGTTTTTAATGCTTCAAATAAACAGATGGTGTTCGTGTTGGAAATCCCACGTCTAATCTCGCAAAACAGGTTATCCACCGGATCTTACTATCAACATCTGAAATGCCATTACTGTTTTTAGCCATGTGTACAACAGGTTTGTACGCATAAGACACTCTTACATGAAAACTGTTTATTGTCTAAAAACGAAAATACCCCAATGAAGATGAGTAATGCAATAAATATAATCCTCGAAACTTGAACTGTAATATGAACATAAAAAAACTAACAAAATGGGCCATTTAACAACATATTTGGTGTTGATATTCTACAACAAAACAAATACTTTCTCGTATAAGGAAACATACAATAATTAACATTTATCACTTTTCACGAAACAATGTAAGTGCGCTGTGACTTTACATACTTATTACAGATTGTAGAACATTTTTTTCATTGTGTATTGTCATGTAACACCTACGTCGTTTTTTTTCTTTAACAACTGCATCAGGATCGAGAACTCTGGGCTGAGAAGTAGACGGCTTACTTTATTCGTCGTTGGTAATTTAGGATTCTTTGCATGGCTAGAACGAAGCTCCCTAGGAAGTCTTGGATCTGATAAACGTCCTCTCATACGAAGTTAAATTAGAGTTTGCCTCAGGGGAACAATAAAATTTCGTCGCCTAATGGAACTTCAGTCCCAGACTGAAAAAAAAGGAATTTACAGAAGCTGGTTGGATACCAAATAGCACAAGGCCATCTTCTCGTTCTCTAACCAGTATTGTATTTACACACTTCCGATCTAATGCATTACCCCCCGCCTTCATAGTGTTATAAAAATAATATAGGATCTTATCAGGTTCTTTGATTCCTCTACTATTTTGTTATCATGCTGCATAGATTGCTATACGAGAACATGTGTATTTGGTTTTGGAAGATACTACTCTAAGGCTGTACAACATAAACTTAGAAGTACCTGGCTGTGTTTCCTTCTTATTTGGAACTACATGTTGGGGTACTGTTACTTATTTTTACGCTTCCTGCCGACATAGGTCAGTTGTTGATGCGCAATTCTACATGTAATTCTACTGACGTGAACCAGTCATCTGCTGTGATAGTTCTGTTCGTATAGACGAAAGCATTGCGCAGGTAGTGGTGAGTCTTTGCATCATCAGTCCATACTTATTCGGTTTAGTTTCTTGTAGGCACAGGAAGGACATCGGCCCAACGAGCATCTCGTATTTTGTAGGGGACTCACCCGAAATATAACAATTCGACAGTTTCTCTATGAGTGTCTCGAAAATTTCACGTATTTGGAGAAATTATCGGCATTTCTCGAGTCACAGGGTTATTATTTTCCAAATTGGTTGCACGGACTTTAGTTCAGGTAAATGCGTAATAATCGACCAGTTGCAGGCGCTCGTTTTGAACCAATTGTACATGTTTTTTCAATAGGCATAGCGAGGTCGCCCATAGGAAGTTGTTCAGGTTGATCGATAGCAGCGTCGTCCTCGGCAAAGTCAACAAACCAACAATTGTGATGTTTAAATTAAACTGTGGTTTGAGGTATAACGTGCTCATACCGTATGAGAAGTCACGGGACCCCCCACCACATAACTGAGAAAGCTCGAATCATCCGACGATATCATTAAAGGATTAATTTCTATATTCTTGAACGAATCTATAAAATCAAAGTGGCTGGGTTTCAATTTACATAGCTCTTTGTATGGTCTTGTTGCTGATCACATTATATGATTTCTAGACATGTTCAATCTGTGCAGCTTCTTCACTTTCATATTAATGTCAATAAGAGCATTTCATCCATTTTTGAATAAATGTGGTTCATCACAAATTGTAGAAATACTCTGAGCATTGACTATAAAATGGAATGGACTTGATCCGTGAGTATTCTCGAGCAAATCGTCTCAAGTGCGTTTTTGATCGTTGCGCCCTGATTAGAATAGTGCCAACAACGCACAAACCAAGTCGCTGCTAGTTTGTGATCACATGAACAATAATCGTTTTCAGATCTGGGATTCTTGTATCTTTTACTAGATAATAAGCCACAACCTGCTTATAATTTTTACGAATCCCTCTTATCATGGAAGTAAGGGCATGATTTCTGATAAATCACTTTTTCAGAGTTCTAGTTGATTTTGTTACCTCAGAATCAAGATTATTAGCTGAAAATTGTACACTGTGAGCACTGGGATCAGCCCTAAACTTTGTCCAACCCTGCAATAATCGTAAACACTAAACAAGGGTAGACATATTTCTAGTTTAACTGCCTGAAGATTTTCTCTATGGTTTATACGTAACTCTCCACCTATTATCTCATTTTTGTACATGTTCTGGGAGAACTCAACTTGCTCCCTATAAAATGCAACGTCTTCCTGCACAGGTGGTTCTGGTTAAGTGCCAGCCTGCTTCGGGTTTGTAATTAGTTGTTGCAATTTTCTGATTTCGTCGTCCTTTTTCATAATCCAGATTTCGTTTTGGCATTCCAGTTCAGCCATTTGATCCTGAAGCTCTTTTATAGTAGAATCATTATGGCATCGTATATCTGAGATTTTAAATGAGTGGTTGACCTCACGTTGGTTACTCTCGTCCATCAGACTCTTTACGTCATTTCTCAGTTTAGATTCAAGTTCTTTTAGGAAGCCAATTTCATCTTGCAGTTCAGCAATGTGTGACATCGTTACATCAGTTTGTGCAGCAGCACTTAAAGAATGTTGCATATCTTCGTACTCAGCGTCAAGCATAGCTTCTAAGTCTGCAACCTTCTTTTTTGACTCAATATTTTGAGCTTCAAGAGATGGTTTAGGGCTCTCTGATCTTCCTAGGTTCTTCAGTTGAGTACGCAGCATCTCTATTTCTGACTCGTATGTTTTTAGTCTTTTTATTATTTTTTTCCAGAAAATCGAGTCTGTATTGCAAGTCGATGAAATTCTTGCGCTTTTTGAGAATTTTTTTGAACTCTTTCTATTCTTCGTTGTACGCATCCGTTACTTGGCGGAGTTCCTGACTGTAACGATCGAATTTAGAATTGGCTTCTGTGAGCTGTTTCTTCAGGTCCAAAATCTCCAGCTGATTATCTAGTTTAGTGAATTCTCTAAGCTCATTGAAAGATTCTTCCAGTTCTTTGAGTTGTCTTTTAAGTACACTTGCACGTCTTCAGCTATCACAGATTCTGCTTCGGCTAGTGCCTCCTCATATGTCTCTTCTTGAATAGGCCTCATTTCACGTCCGGATGATTCTTCTTTGGGTGGATAATTTTTCAATGGCATATACCCTAGGGATGCTTTTTTAGGTGATACGTTGCCATAGTGTCCAAAAGTATGACGTCTTAATGTTTTTTTCGGTGTTGATGCCGAGGCTCCCATTTGAAAGCGCCCGACAATAGATACTTCCGTTTTTAGTCTTTCTATCTCGAGCAGATACTCTTGTTTGCTTTTATCCATCTCTTTTAGCTTAATTGCCTGCTTTTTGAGCCGAGTTTCGAGATCGCGAGTCAAGTTCTGATATCCTTGAAGTGTCTCTTCTGTAGCTGACAAGATGTTTACTTTCGTTTTATTTTTGACAGTTTTAGTGCTTTGGGCGAATTCTGGTGTAGATCTAGTCTCCTCCTCTGCAGCTAAAGTAACATTCCCGATAATCAATGATTTGGCATTACCGCCAAGAGCCTGTGAGAGCAGTCTAGTCAATTTCGAATCGCGATAACTGATAAACTCCTTCCCCTCGCTTAGTTGCCTTATCACATTTCCTAATACTGACAAAGATTTGTTTATGTTAGCCCCCTCTTTAAGACGCTCACCAGCAGCTTTCGTCAGAGAAACTCTCTCAGAACCAGCTAAGTCCATTAAGTTAAGGTAGCTTATATGTACAGGTCCATCTTTCTGATTGGCATCTTTCGACTCCAGAATAATCCGGAAAATCGTGTGTGATCGAGATGACCTCTCATTCATGCGAGTAGCTGCAACTCGTCTGATCTTATTGCCCTGCATCATGTTCTCCATAACTTTATCA